ATATACAGGAAACTCCTTACTGGAATGACTCAGACTCGGTGATTCAAGTAAAACAGTTAGACACCAGGGCAAGATTGCCAACTAAAGGCTCAAGGATGGCAGCAGGCCATGATCTCTATGCAATACAGGAAAACAGAGTCCCAGCATGAGGACAGTTAGTTGTTGGAACTGGTATTACAATTGGTATACCAACTGGAACGTATAAAAGGATTGCTCCTAGAAGCGAACTCGCAGTCAAAAGCGGTATCTCCACTGGTGCTGGGGTAATCGATGCAGATTAGACCGGCGAACTCAAGGTACTGCTATTCAACCATCGAGATGCAGACTGTCACATCAAGGCCGGCGATTGAATTGCCCAACTAGTGATAGAAAAAATTAATACTGCAGCGATGATGGAAATAGACAACCTAGAGAATACCAAAAGATGTACATCGGGATTCAGCAGCACAGACATCACAACAAGAGCTATTACTCTCCGAGAATTAGAACCGGTAGTCACCCAACTACATGTGTCAATAAACTAAAATATACATTGGTATGATGCAGCCGAAGTACCCAAATAAACACTCATAACCAGCACTATACTGGCCCATAAGGAACTAAAGAAATTCAACCCGAAATTTCTAGAGCAAGTCCTAAAAGCTATCCCAGGGGATAGAGAATGGCTTAAAAGAAGAAATGAGTTAGAAAGCTTACAAGACCATGGCAAACCTTTCCCGAAAGACTGGATCCTATCCAACTAGTTGCTTTACTACAAGCAAAGATTATTTGTACCAAAAAATCAGGATCTTTATACGACAATAGCTGAAGGATATCACGATGCTAAAATAGCCGGACACTTCGGTCAAGAAAAAACCCTTGAGATAATTATGAGGGATTTTTACTGGAAAGGCCTGGCAGATTGGGTAAATGATTACGTACGGTCGTGTGATGATTGTCAACACAACAAATCCCCATGACACGCGAAGTATGGTCTACTACAATCGCTGTCAATACCCTACGCAGCATGGGCCTCAATTTCAGTTGATTTTATTACACAGTTACCACAAAGTCAAGGATGCACCCAAATCATGATAGTGGTTGACCGATTCACAAAGATGGCTCACTTCGTCAGATTGGAAGGAACAACCACTGCAAAAGATGTGGCAACAGCCTTTACAAAGGAAATATGGAAGCTACATGGCTTAACCACAGAAATTGTCTCAGACATAGATTCAAAGTTTGCAGGAGAATTCTGGGAATCCCTATGCAAAATACTTAATATAAAAAGGAGGATGTCTACAGTGTACCATCCTCAAACGGATGGACAAACTGAGCGAACCAACCAAGTGCTGGAAGGTCACCTGCGAAGTTTTATCAACTATGATCAGGATGACTGGTACCAACTGTTACCTCTAGCCGAACATGCTTACAACTCGGTAACGAGTGAACATGTGATGATACCCTTCTACGCAAGCTACAGATTCCATCTACAAACAGAATGGATGAAGGAACGTGAGGCGCAAAATCCAGGAGCCACACTATATGCAAACTAAATAAAAATGATTCATGAGCAAGCAAGAGAGTCGCTCCAATAGATACGAGAAGCTATGGCCAAATACTACGATAGGAAGGCCAAGGAGCAACCTGACTTTAAAATTGGTGATAGAGTAATATTAAACGCAAAGAACATTCGTACACGCTGAAAGTTAAAGAAACTCAGTCCTAAATTATATGGACCATTCGTGATCTTGGAGAAATGAGGAAACCGTGCCTGGAAACTCAATATTTCAGATCGATGGAACATACACCCAGTATTCCACGTATCTCTATTAGAACCCTACAGAGAGTCGGTGCACGCGAACTGACAACAACCTCCCTGAGAACCCGAGGATATTGAGGGCGACTTACAATGGGTAATAGAGAAAATTATAAGAAGCCAGTTACGCTCTTACAGAAAGAGAGTACACGGTCACTACCAAGAGGTACGTGAACTATGGTACTTTGTTAAATGGCAAGGATGTTCTGAAGATGAGAACACCTGGGAACCTGCCACTGGTATGGATAATGTGAGGGAAATGGTGAATGAATTTCACCGTGATAATCTGGAAATGCCAAGGTGGGCAGAGGAAGGACGATAAGAGAAAGATTTTCCTACCGTGGCCAAGCAAACGTGGAAGGTTTTTTACCCTACTCTCATCGGGTCCGAAAGGAGTTAATGTTTAAAAATTTAAATGGTTAAATTACGTTTAGTTTTTATATTCTATGTACCAAAAAGGCATTCGAGGCGAAGCCTTAAGAGGAGGGAGCTCATGTTAGGAATACCAGAACCCGATACCTAGGAACCACCCTAAGCAGGGTAACCCCACTTGGAATTGGAATCTCTGGTCTCCAACACCCCCCTCCAGCTCCCTTACGGGGCCCACGCGTCATTATATATATCAATCTCAATTGCGTCCTGTGACTACATTACTACAGAATTGAAGGTATTAGAGTAACACCGTATACATCGCCACCGTCCGTCCTACCAGATCCTGTTCGCAGGATATATGGGAGAGGACCTTCGGCTAGACCTGGGAAGTGGAACGGAGTAATTCTGTCAACTACTCAGAGAGTTACTAGGCTTCAAATGTATGACACCTTTGGCATGGGCTGCAAAGTAACAGGACGATTTCGCACAATGAGATGGTATCAAGTAGTGAAGGATCTCTACTAGAGACCGATACAATTACATACACCAGAAGAGTCTAGAACTCCTAAAGACACTACCAAAGAAGCCAACGAACTTTACGGAGTGTTGCAACTGGGTTTCAGAACACGTTGTAGTCATGAGGTGATTCTCAAATTCTACAATGGTTACTGAAACCTACTACCCAGAGAGCAACCAAAGGTTGCCGACCGCAGGATTTATTACCAGTCTAGTGGAGTGGCTTCCTGCGAGTGAATAGAAAGTCATCTAAAGAAAATCTATCGGTTGGGTATGGAGTTACAAAGGGGTCGGAATCAAATGACCTACAATAGTTGTAATGATGACCACCTTTGCAGATATAGCCATGGATAAGACTGATCATTTTATCAATGGCGAAGACAATTGGAGCCAACTCAGTTCGACTTAAGAACTAGGCTATAAGTCTAAAGACTCTGCCAATCAGGATATTACTATTGGGGACAGTATGTTTCCTAAGAAGAAATATCGTAATTACCGAAGAGGATGTGATGGTTTTCAGGGTCCACAGATGTTCGCACCTTGGAAGAAAACTCGACGTTGCAAATTACGATTGAAGAAGTACATAGTTGTATGATAAATAGATGTAGTCCACGAACACTCAGACATGGAATATAAATATCGAAGTGCCTCCCAAGCTTTAGACATCATCAAGCAACGGAGAAGAGACCTTAACAATATAATATTGTTTTTACGATTCTACCCTACTTTACCTACTTTACTTCACTCCTAGTAGTCATAAACCAAACGAGCCAAGTCCAAGCCTTCCTAGACAATCTCTGTCTACAAAAACGAATCTCGATTGGCCTAGACAATCTTGAAGTCTATCAAGTTGTCTCCGCCTAACAACTATGGTAACAATGTTGCTCTTTATTTTATGTTTGAAATATTGGAGCATCAGATTTATATGCCTGAATTTTTACCCTTTGCCCTTTTAAGAGAGGATCAATATGTAAAAGTTTGGTCATCATGTTACCTTAGTGGAATTATGATAATAATATTATGTATCGAGATAACCATTATTGGCCCGGATACTTATCCTGCAAAGTTCACGGTACGGTAAGTTACGTCGATGCACCGTACCGTACCGTCATCCTAGGCTAGGTAACCAGACACTACGAACCCTACTCCCAGCCGAGTGATCTACCATGCCACCTAACGAGCAAACCCCCCCCCCTCCGACCATACAAGAATGCACACAACATCCCCCACCCAATCCAACCTAATTCGCCGGTGAGCAGCATATACCGTGGCTCTACCCCATACCAAGGAAAACCCTAAAGAAAAACCCAGGACAAGAGATCTGGACATGCCTAACTCCTTTTTTTTTTTTTTTTTCCTCCTTCTTCTAACCTTATACAGTCGCACCTCGTTATAAAGAACGCCAAGAGTTGGGGGGGTTTTATTCGTTATAACGAGGTTTTGGGGTGAATTCCTTATAGCGAGTACTGTTTGTATGGGAGCAGGGGTCTTGATTCCCGTACGATTCATTCGTAATGGCGAGGTTTCTCATACAAAGAGGTCCATTATAGCGAGGTGCGACTGTGCAGTACTGTACAGTACAGTGCAGCAGCTGACTATTCATCGCTGCTAATTCAAAAACGCAGATAATCGACGGCCCGCCACTCTCCAGCACGAAGGAAACTGGTAGGGTAGCGAAGGGCTGCCGATCGAGGGGTCTTTCTTGCTGCCTCGGGAGAATCTGCGGTGCGTGCCAGTCATGGGAGTGGGCAAATGGACAGGGGCCACATTATGATCCTATCCCGCCTGATCCCACCGGAAGTCTCCAGAGGCTATTGCGAAAACTACACACCGCAATGCGGAAGTGAAATTTTACCCTTAGAATCCTTGCTCGCGACGGGCTTCTAGAACATGCATAGAAGCCTGGAATTGATTCATACTCCCTAGAAAGATGGGCGGAACAAAAATACAATACTGGAATTATCTATCACCTTCACAAACCTCACTCCAAAACCACGCTACAGCAAACGGAAGTTACATAAATAAGAGCAAACGACAAGAATTAGCTCCAGCTATATTCACAACTCTTTAAACCAGTCGGCCAACTAAAATGCTATATACGTACAAAAGTAAAATACAAGAATAGACACCGACATCCTCACCCAAGAATCCACCAACCAACCAAAACAAACCAGGAGTCCAGGATGGTGTGGACCCGACTCTGCAACCAGCTGCCCAACAAGTCTTCCCCTTGAGGGCATCCTCGAGACAAACTATCAAAAAATATTACAAAATACAAAGAAAAAATAAAAGACTTTTCCGATCAAGAAATGGTCTACAAGCAGTAAGAGTAGTACTCGTTCTGGAACGTGCACTTGGTGCCGGCGACGCAGTTGGTTCCGCCAGTGTGAATCTTTCCACCGCACTGGTAATACTTAGCAACTATGCCGGAGTTATCTCCTGCCGGCTTGGTGGGTGAGGAGGCCGCGGGAACGATGGCGGAGCTAGTCCGCCCCGGAGCGGAAACAGAGGTGGCTGCTGGCGCGGTGGTAGCGGCCAGAGCAGTGGTCACACTCCGAGTGGTAGAAGGAACAACAGCTGTCGAAGAGGGAGCAGGAGCAGAGCCACCAGTTTTTCCATCCCAGACAGCGGGTCCAGGGATTGTATAGCTAGTCGCACCATTATACAAGTTGAAGAGGATTCCAGGATCATTGTGGGAGTAACCGCCGACGAAGCCAAAGGTGCCGGGAGGGGTAACAGTTCCTGAACCGGTGACCTTGAACTGCGAGCAAGATGGATAAAATTGAGCTCCGCGAGCAGGGTTGACGGGATAATCAGTTTCTGCCTCGTGAAGAGCAATGATCTCGGCTCTCAGAAGATAGTCTCCAGCAGCCAATGCTGTGGGCAGGGTAACATGGTGCTTTCCGCCGTTGGCGATGAGGGTCTCCACGGCCCACTTTCCTCCGCTAAGACCAGACTCCGCAATCTTTGTCCAGACGCTGCCGGCGCCCTCCGAACTTGCCGGGAGCAATGTAGACAGTAATGGGTCCCTTGTGGGAGGGATCAATGATGTCGTCCCCACGACTGCGGAATTGTCAGCCATGTTCAAAATAATAGCAGATGAA